GACTCGATGATCTCTGGAGGTCCCTTCCAACCCCTACGATTCTGTGATTCTGTGTGATTCTGTGATTCTGTGAGATAGTCCAGCCGCAGAAATGCGTGAGGGCTGAAGATGCTCCTTTCAGGGTGAGAGCATCTGGGCTTTCATAGATGTTCTGAGGGGATGCTATTCTGGAGCTTGAGGAGAAGTGCAAAGGCCGTCCCAGTGTGTCCTGGGGAATGTCCAAAGGAGAGGTGCATGGGCTTTCACCAGCCTGGTCTGTTGACTATGTTATTCTGGTTCTGGAATATATTAATTTGATCCTGTCTTCAGGAGGCTGCCACAAGCTGGAGCTGCGGGACCACCATCTTCATGTTCGAAACGTGCTGCTAAGGAGCCATGTGGACTGCACTGGCAGACAGGGAATGTCACGGCTGTTCTTGCAGGTAGTTCTCCCAGGTCCGGCATGCAGGAACAGTATCTCTTTTCGCTCTGGATACCGAGACAACTGTTGGCTTCCTCCCCGACAACAAATCTAACAGTGTTCTCTTCTAGGTAGAAAGATCTGGCAAGAAATATGGGACAATTCAGAGTGTGTGCCTGCCTAAAAATGTGGCAGTTGAGGTTTGGTTTCAGGAAGTTCCTGAACATTTTGCTATAACAGATACACAGAACACAATCATACTATTTGATAAAGCAAGTTGTCAGCTACAAAACACTCTTTTTCAATATAGTCTTCACCATTAACTATGTCAGTAATGAGCAGAAGCCTTTATGCCATGCTCTTCAATATCTGCACCAGCAGAAGTAACCACCATAATTGTCACCACTCCTGAAACATATCACTCACCCTCACTTATGCTCATTGTTTGATCTCTGTGAACATTCAGCAAGCATCAGTGAATGTCAGTGAGTGCCATTTTTCTGCATGGAGGGATTCAGTGACACATCTTTGCTTCATCTGCACTTCCATGTAAGATGACATTTTGTTGGACTGCCTGTCTGCTGCTATCTTTTACATGGCAACAAAAGGTAAAGAATGCTGCTGGGAAGATTCAACCTGTACTGCTGTATACCACCACATCTGTCTCTGATGGCTGCTAGTCTGGAAACAAGAGTGGGTTCAGCTTACCAACATAAATGCAATAAAAAAATAATAGCACTTTTAAGTTCCACTTCATCATTAATGTTTTAAAACACCATTATTCTAGCTTTAGTTCTGATAAAAACTGTCTTTACAGTTGCAATGGACACATCCGTCTTATTTCTTTGTTCACATCTTGAAAGGATACACTGGGGAAGTAGACACTCCTGGAAGCTTTTTGCATTGGTTTGTCCAAGTTTATGTGGAAACTGGAAAAAAAATGGGAAATTCCACTGCCCTTTTGAGAAACAACCTACCCTACAACTTTGCTCCTTTTGAGCTGCTCATACTATTTGGGAAAGATATAGAATATCTAAAATATCCGTCCTCAACCAAGAGCCAGCTCAAGGTCTTGACACTGTAAATTAGCAGTCTTTGATCCTGGTATCCTTTAAAGAAGATTCAGGCAGATCTACCCTTGCCACAGAATCTGCAGCTACTCCAACACCTGTGATAGTAGCTGAAGCTACCTAAGCCCCCCTGAGGGGCCCTGCAGCTGCTCCAGCACCTGTAACAGGCCCTGCAGCTGATCCAAACCTTGTGACAGCCTCTGCAGCTGCTCTAATACCTGTGACAAGCCCTGCAGCTTTTACAAAGTGTACCACAGGCCATGCAACATTTCCAGTGCCTCTGACAGGCCCTCCAGCTACTACAATGCCTGTGACTGGCCCTGCAGCTGCTCAAAGCCCACTGACAGGTCCAGCAGCTTCTGCAAACCCTGAGGCCCAGCAGAGTTTCAAGTGGCTTTGGACAGCACTGCAGCTTCTCAACCACTGGCAGGCCTTTCCAAAGCTCCAGCTCATTTCTCAAATATCGCAAATGCTACAAAGCCCTGTGATAGGTCTGACTACTTCTATGAACAGTGTGCCAAATCCTACAGCTTCTGAAAAGCCACAGATAGGCCTCGTACCTGACCCTACCCTGAGAAAGGCCCTGCAGAAAGAGATGAAGGCAAATGAACCACGGCGACCGAGTGTACATCACATGTTAGCCATCTTCATGAGTTGCTGCTGGACAGAACAACCAACACGTAGATCAGGATGCACCTGAAGAGGTGCTCCCCTGTGGTCAGATGAATTCTGATCCTAAAAGGGCTGAGTGCAGGAGCCTGGTGGGAGCTGCTGTTTGAAGAACCCGAAGCTTTGAAAACAGAACACTTATTATGGAACTTGCTGGGGACTCATTGGATAGAAAGTACTGGCTAGATGTCTGTAGCTAGACCGTAGAGGAGGCAGCTCCAGCATGCTGATGCATGTGTCTGCTCTGTCACAAGAGCAGACCAGGAACTTCCCTATGCTAGACAGGCCTCGCACTCAGAGAGTGAAAGATGCAGGAGCATGCTGGGAGTAGCTCCTTCAAGGCCTTGGAGGTGTGTGACCTTTGACTCTTTGACCACGGCTAAATGAACCCCATGGACATTTCTGAGTGATAACCCATAGACTATGGGAATGCTGTCTCTGTGTTTGTATCAAAAGACAGGAAATCTGATGGTGATTTGGATGACTTGGAACGTATGGGACCTGAGCATGCTGGAGATGATATAAAATGAGGGGAGGGCATTGTCCTGGTTTTGGCTGGCATAGAGTTAGCTTTCATCCCAGCAGCTGGCATGGTGCTGCGATTTGGGTTTAGGATGAGAATACCGTTGATCATGCCCCAGTGTGTTACTTCTTGCCAACAGGTGCTTACACTCAAGGACTTGCCCTGCCTGAGAGAGGCTGGCAGTTCACAAGAAGGCGGGAGAGAACTGAACCTGCTGGTGGCAGGGACTGCTGCCTGGGAACTGGCTGGGTATCGCCCGGGTGGGTGTGGAACAACTACGCTGCACGCTACTTGTTTCCTGTATTCTTTAATCGTCATCATCATTATCATCCCCAGTCTCCTGGTCAGTGAGGAGATGATCGGCCTCCTTCTGCCTCCCAGCCACAATCACAGGCTCCTGGTGTTGTAGAGAAGCATGATGGAAGGGCTCAGGCTGCTGGGGCTGAGGGAGTGAAATATTCCCAGTTGCAGCACTGCCATTAAATGCACGCTCCAGGAGGTCCTCCCTCTTGATTTCCCGTGCCCTTGAGACAACGCTGGAAAGTATTCCTTGCATGGGATTGTTCTTTGGTTTGGTAAAACCCCCGCCCTGCAAAGCATCCAGATGTTTACTGGGCTCTCCGACTGGGGACCTGGATCCGCAGAGGTGGCAGCTGCAGCGCGCCAATGCGGACGTACGCTCCGTCACCAGGGCTGACGATGCGCTCTGCTCTGCTCGGTGGGCTTTGCTCCCCAGAAGTGCTCGCTGCAGGAGCACTTGGAGCTGCGTCACCCCGTGAGACTTGGCCGCTGCCTACGGAGCTCCTCCTCATTGGGAAGCCACTGTTCCTGGACTGCCTGTGCCGCAGCGGGGACCTGCTCCTGGTCCTCTCCCTGGCTCTTCTTCTCTGCCTACGGGAGGATGAGCTGACTACGTACTCCTGGTAGTCATCATCTGCTCTCACCGTGTGCAGGACACGGTCAATAGGCTGCCTGCAGAGTGGGCACACAGCTCTCATGGTAGCCCACCGCTGGATGCAGCCAGAACAGAAGCGATGGAAGCACGGGTCCACGCACGCCATGTTGCTGATGTTGTCCAGGCAGATGGCGCAGCGATAGTCTTCTGGTGCCTCCGATGGGTCTTCCTTCTGCAGATGGCTCCTGCTGGCCATTGCAACACTGCCCCTCTCCTCCAGAGATTCCTCAGAACCTAATCTGTGGGAAGAAAAAAAGAAAATAAAGAGGTGCCAATGGCCTGAGCCTTGCCTCATGCTCCAAAGTGGAAAGCGAAGAAAACCCAAGAAAGTACTGAGAGAGGGGAGGGGAGGAAAGGGGAGAACCTTCCAAAGCATCTCCTTGAGGGCTGACAGAAGCAGCAGCCCTTGGGCCAGGCAGACCCAAGGGCTCACCTCCCTCCATGCCTGGTCCCTTGGCTGCCCCCAGGCCCAGACTAACCAGACCCTTGCGTTATCTCTCAGACAAGCAGCAGGACTCCATTTGGTCAAGAGAGTACCTGAAGGAGGTGCTCAAGGAAGACAGACAAACTCTTGGAAAGTCTTCAGAGGTGCCAACAGCTCCAGCACCTCCTCTTGCCCGTGTCCCCAGGACAGATGCCCTGTAGGACCTGTGGCGCCTCACAGCTCAGCAGAGGACTGAGCCACGCCACCAGAAACTGCCTTAGCTCAGCCAACAGAGCTGCTGCTCTCCAGAAAGCCAAGCCTCAGCGCTTGCCCACGGTCCTGCTCCGACCTGTACACTGTGCCTGTGCACCCGTAGGAGCAGTGGCCCAACTGTGCGGGGAGGGACCCGGGGAGTGGTGCAGAGTGGTGAGGCCGTGGGCAGTCACAGTCACTGCATTCTGACATCACAGGGGCCAGGAGGACCACCAAGTGAGCGCCATGGTTTGATGATCTTGGTTATGGGTGTAACATCATGGCATAACATCATGGAGTGCACTGGGAGTTAAAGAGTTATTGCTCCAGTTGTGGGTATACCTGTCTCAGACAAGCAGAAGAACTACATATACCAAAGGACTGTTCAATGCTCTGTTTCTGTCTTCCTTTCAGAGGAGAGATAAAGATAAAACTCTTGGCAGGTCACAAGACGCCTCTTTTTCCTTTTCCGCTCGTCTCTGCGCCGTCTTGCTCCCTAGCCGCCTCACCTTCAGCATTAGAGTAAGGCTTTCTGGTTTTGGACACTTTCTCACTTTATTTGATTGGTTGCCTTCAACTACAATTATATTGTTTTGCACTGTGTTATCTTGCATTCCCATACCTTATTTAGTGAATTACCTTTCCTCCTCGGATCACTGCCAGTGTTTTGTTTTAGGCCCATTTCCCCGCCCTTCCCACTTTTTCACTTTTTCCTTTCCCAGGGTCCATGGGTCCCCCTGCCCCATCAGTCACGGAACCTGGCCGAACCAGCCCGTAGACCGTTAGGCAAGTGGTAGGCAAGTGCCCCAGAGGGGCAAAGGGTGCTTCACGCGTCCTTGCTGGCCATGTGGTTTCTGCTTGTCACCAGCCTGGTGTCCCTGAGCACATGGGCCCGGTGCTGGGCAGCAGAGCAGAGGATGCAGGGGAACCGTGGCGGCCTCCTCCCTCGGTGCCAGCAGAGTGCCGTGGCTCAACTGCTCAGAGGCCTGACTGAGGAGAAGAACTGGTATCTTGTCACCAGTGGGAAAGCCCCAGAGACCCCAGAGATAGCAGAGGTTGAAAGGGACCCCTGGCGAGCGCCTTGTCCAGCCCTTCCACCTCCCCCCTGGAGCAGGGCCAGCCTGCTCTAGTGTTGTCCCAAACCATGCCCAGACAGGTTTTATCTGTCAAAGACCTCCAGTGGAGGAAACCCCACACCCTCTCCAGGTAACTGATGCCAGGGTGAAGGGCCTGTCATATAATTCCTGATGTTCAAGAGGAACCTCCTGTGTTTCTTCTTATGCGCGCTGCCTCTTGTCACTGGCTACTGCTGGAAAGAGCCCAGCTCACTATTCTTCACAGCCTCCCTTTGGAGATGTGTAGACATTGAGATACACCCTGAGTGTTCCCCCTGGGTGGCAAACCCGGATCTTTTTCTTTCTGTGTCCAGTTCTGGGCTCCCCAGTACAAAAAAGACAGGGATCTCTTGGAAAGAGTCCAGCAGAGAGCCACAAAGATGGTGAAGGGCCTGGAGCATCTCCCCTATGAAGAAAGGCTAAGTGATCTGGGTCTGTTTAGCCTTGAGAAGAGAAGACGGAGAGGGGACCTGATCCAGGTCTATAAATATCTAAGGTGTGGGGGGCAAAGTGGCGAGGCCAGACTCTTTTCAGCAGTGTGCGGAGACAGGACAAGGGGAAATGGCCAGAAGCTGGAGCATAGGAAGTTCCGCACCAATGTGCGCAAGAACTTCTTTACGGTGAGGGTGACGGAGCACTGGAACAGGCTGCCCAGGGAGGTTGTGGACTTTCCTTCTCTGGAGATATTCAAGACCCGCCTGGACGCCTACCTGTGCAACCTGGTGTAGGGAGCCTGCTTTGGCAGGGGGGTTGGACTCGATGATCTCTGGAGGTCCCTTCCAACCCCTACGATTCTGTGATTCTGTGTGATTCTGTGATTCTGTGAGATAGTCCAGCCGCAGAAATGCGTGAGGGCTGAAGATGCTCCTTTCAGGGTGAGAGCATCTGGGCTTTCATAGATGTTCTGAGGGGATGCTATTCTGGAGCTTGAGGAGAAGTGCAAAGGCCGTCCCAGTGTGTCCTGGGGAATGTCCAAAGGAGAGGTGCATGGGCTTTCACCAGCCTGGTCTGTTGACTATGTTATTCTGGTTCTGGAATATATTAATTTGATCCTGTCTTCAGGAGGCTGCCACAAGCTGGAGCTGCGGGACCACCATCTTCATGTTCGAAACGTGCTGCTAAGGAGCCATGTGGACTGCACTGGCAGACAGGGAATGTCACGGCTGTTCTTGCAGGTAGTTCTCCCAGGTCCGGCATGCAGGAACAGTATCTCTTTTCGCTCTGGATACCGAGACAACTGTTGGCTTCCTCCCCGACAACAAATCTAACAGTGTTCTCTTCTAGGTAGAAAGATCTGGCAAGAAATATGGGACAATTCAGAGTGTGTGCCTGCCTAAAAATGTGGCAGTTGAGGTTTGGTTTCAGGAAGTTCCTGAACATTTTGCTATAACAGATACACAGAACACAATCATACTATTTGATAAAGCAAGTTGTCAGCTACAAAACACTCTTTTTCAATATAGTCTTCACCATTAACTATGTCAGTAATGAGCAGAAGCCTTTATGCCATGCTCTTCAATATCTGCACCAGCAGAAGTAACCACCATAATTGTCACCACTCCTGAAACATATCACTCACCCTCACTTATGCTCATTGTTTGATCTCTGTGAACATTCAGCAAGCATCAGTGAATGTCAGTGAGTGCCATTTTTCTGCATGGAGGGATTCAGTGACACATCTTTGCTTCATCTGCACTTCCATGTAAGATGACATTTTGTTGGACTGCCTGTCTGCTGCTATCTTTTACATGGCAACAAAAGGTAAAGAATGCTGCTGGGAAGATTCAACCTGTACTGCTGTATACCACCACATCTGTCTCTGATGTTGTGAACCATCATAATAAAATAGAAGGCATTACTTTCAGATCTGCCTTTGTACATTGCAAAAGTTAAAGGATAACGAGGATCATGTTTCAGATACTGACATATATATATACCTAAACTGGGCTTTTTCTCAACAGTTTTTTTTTTCTGTGTTTTAATTGGGATTGGTCAAACTTTGAGTATGTAATCTGCACACATACCCAAAGCCTCCTATCTGTTGTAGAGGTGCACTTCAGGAGCAAGGAGAAGACTCTTCCTCCTGCTCCAAGAAGAGGGAAGGATCCAGTCTCCTTTATCTTGTATACCATTGCAATCTGTCACATCAGGGCTACAAGCTGACTTACCTTCCTTTTCCAGGAACTTACTTAAGACAGGGCTGTCTGTGTCACTGCACAACACCACTTATCAATCTCAGATTTACAGATGCAATGCTGCTTGGTGATATCCTCATGCACTCACTGTGATTTTTGTGATTCTGACCACCTGCACAAAAAGTTCATCGAGCTGGGCAAGCTTGCAGCCATAGTACTCTTTGCTTTCAGGCCTTTGGAGGATTTCCAGATTCTGGAGTTCTCTGCATAAAAAGGTTTGGCAGCTCTGTTACTTGAGAGGTCCTCTGAGTGTAAATATGGCCCCCCAGCCTGGATTTCAACCTCAGTCCAACATTATGCAGGTGGTCACCAAGTCTGTTTTAATAGAGTGAGGCTGCCTGCTGCTCTAAAAAGGAAGTGGCCCTCCCATGCAAACCAGCATGCTGTGCACACCCTGCTGGCCTGCCCTGGTAACTGTGTTACTGGTAACTGGCACTGCCTTAGTGCAGGCTGAAGTGGTTGCCTCTGCTCCTGGACATGTCCATGCCTCCTCAACTGCTCTCTTGAAGGCTCGAAGCTCCTGAAATCTCCTGTCAACTCTCTCCTCATCCTAAGGTCTCCTCTGTTGCAGGAATTCCACTACATACTATGATCTCCTGTTCTGCTTCAGAATGTGTCAGCACTTGGGCTGACTGCGTGATAGTGACTGTTAGTGGCTGTTATACCACATTTATATATCTCACCACTGCTCCTAAGAAGATGATGTGACAATAATGCCAGCGAAATACCTCTACACCAATGGACACTGCATGGGAAGTAAGCAGGAGGAGGTGGAAGGCACTATGACCTAACTGCTATCACAGAAATATAATGGGACAAATCACACAACCGGAAGACTACAATTGAGGACTACAGGCCTTTCAGAAGACATGAGAAGGGAAAGAAGGGTGGAGGTTTTGCATTCTGCGTAAGAAATTGATAGACTGCAAAGAACTGCCTCTGAGAAACAGAGGTTGAGAGATTGCGGTTAAAAATTAAGGACCAGATCAATTAAGGATATCTGATGGCTGGGGCCTGTTACAGACAGCCTGACCAGCAGGAACCAGTTGACAAAGCCTTCTTTCTTCAGCTACAAAAAGCACTGCACTCATAGGCTCTCATCCTAATGGGAGATTTCAACCACTCAGCTGTCTGCTGGAGAGTAATGTGACAGGCTGTAAGCAATCCAGGAGACTCCCAGAGTGCGTTGAAAATAACTTCCTTGTCCAAATATTAGAAAAAAACAACCAGAGGTGAAGCGTTACTGGACCTGATGCTCACCAGTGCAGATTAAAGAGGTTAAGAGTGGATACAGTTTGGGATGTAGTGACCATGCTGTAGTTGAGTTTGTGATCTTGAGGAGTATGGGCCTGGCAAAGATCAAAGTCAGGATGCTGAAATTCAGAAGAAATTACTTCCAGCTGTTTAAAGAATTAGTGGATGAGATCTGCTGGGAAGCTGCTCTTATGGACAAAGAAATGGAGCAGATCTAGCAAATCCTCAAGGATGCTTTTCTTGAAGCACAAGAGTTCTCTATTTCCTACATGTAAGAAATAAGACAGAGGAGGCAGGAAACTGGCTTGACTGAGCAAGAATCTGATGGTAAAACTGTTAGAAAGGAAATGTGCAGGCAGTGGAATCAGGAGCATGTGGCCTGGGAAAAATAGAGGGATATCGTTTGGATGTGCAGAGATGGAATCTGGAAAGCCAAAGAACAGATGGAACTGAACTTGGCAAGCAATGTAAAAAATAACAGGAAGAGATTCTGTGTGTACATTAGTCAGAATAGAAAGGCCAAGGAGAGTGTTTCCCTCTCATAAATGAGAATGCAACGAATTAGCAACAACAGGCAAAGAGAACGCTGAGGTACTCAACAAGTTGTTTGCAGGACACTTCATTAGCAGTCAGGCTTCCCAAATATCTCATGTTCCTGAACATCTAGGTGGGAGTTAGGGGAACAAAATCCCTACCACTGTAAGCAAAGAGCAATTTTGAGACCACCTGATGAGACTGAATGTGTATAAGTCTATGGTATGTCTATCCCAGAGTCTGAAGGAAAAAGCTGGTGGAATTGCCATACTGCTCTCTTTCATATTTGACAGTTCGTGGCTATCATGTGAAGTCCTCAGTGAGTGGAGAAAGAAAAACATCTGGGGAACTACAGGAAAAAAGATTTGGGGAACTACTGGCCAGCGGTCCTTGCTAGGAAGAAGCCTGAGAAGGTCATCCTCCTGGGAGATACTTGGTGACTGGTCATGAGTGATGTTTCTCAGGGGTCGGTACTGGGCCCTGTCCTGTTTAATATCTTCATTGATGACCTGGACAACAGAATTGAGTGCATGCTCAGGAAGTTTGCAGGTGACTCCAAGCTGGGACAAAGTGTTGATCTGGGGGGTAGGAACACTCTACAGAAGGATCTGGACAGACTGGATTGCTAGGCTGAGGCCAATGGGATGAAGTTCAACAAGACCAGGTGCCGGGTTCTGCACACTGCTCACAGCAACCCCCCAGGCAATGCTACAGGGTTGGGGTAAAGTGGCTGAAAAACTGTGGAAGAAATGGATGCTGAAGAAATGGATGTTACCAATGCTCAGGTAAACATAAGCCAGCAGTGTCCTTAGGTGGCCGAGAACACCAATGGCATCCCAGCCTGGATCAGAAATAGTGTTGCCATTAGGAGCAGGGGGCGATTGCCCCTCTTTAAGAGTGAGGCCACATCTTGAGTACTGTGTTCAGTTTCGGGCTGCTCATTACAAGGAGATCAAGGCCATGAAGCATGTCCAGAGAAGGGCAGGGAAGCTGGTGAGAGATCTGGAACACAAGTCTTATGAGAAGTGGCAGAGGGAACTGGAAGTAGAGAAGTGGAGGCACAAGAGAGACATTATTGATCTCCACAAATATCTGAAAAGAGGTTGTGGTGAGGTGGAGGTCAGCCTCTTCTCCTGCATAATTAGTGACAGTAGACAGGAGGGAGACAGACTTTTTTCCTAAGTAGGTAGTAATAGTTTAAAACCATTTCCCCTCATCCTAAAAGAGCATAGATTTAGATCAGATATTAGGAGAAAAAATTTGACTTAGAGATTGGTAGAACACTGGAACTGATTGCCCTGAG